CATTTTTAAAATACTAGTATTTTGATACGTAGTAATCTATCGATTTTGCCGATCTATGCATAAAATCTGTATTATCAATTTTTATTATAAGACCTTACATAGATTTGATTAATTAGTATATGAAATACCCCAACGACACAATGTGGTATTTCGATGAGATTTCTGCGTAACAGCTTTATGGTATTACGACATTACGATATTACAACATTAAGTGCGAGGACGTAAATCATTTCCACCAATTAGGCAGTATATGTATTTATTATTATGATCTCAATAATGATACGTATATCTGAGTTTTATACCGGAACTTAATAACAGAAACCAACTTCATAGCAAATTTATGAGTTTTTGCGATTTCTTGTTATTTTTCATCTTTATTTTTTATTAATTTTTTTTGATTGTATGCTACACGTTGATCTTGACTATTTCACTCCGGCATAACGGTTCATAGTATTGGCGCGTAATAACTACATGGGCGTTATTTCAAAACTCTCATTTTTTTGAAAATTGTTTCTTGACTCAAAATAACGCCCATGCGCGTCCCACCCCCTTAAATGTACTATATTACATATTTTGATTGAATTTTTCAGGCTAAGTTCATTATTAAAATTAGGGCTTCCTCTTGTAACCCAAATTTGTCAAAATGATTCGACCACCATGCGCGTCCCAAAATAACGCGCAGGGTCTCGAAATAACGCGCAGATGCGCGTTATTACGCGCCAATACGGTACTCAAAAAATACAGCATGTGCCGTAACCGTATTGATTTGTAAAATCAATTTACTACAAACTATACCAACTGGTCCCGATTGGCGACTATTTGATTAAATAGTTTACAATCAGTGAGAACCCTATTGACCCTATTTGTATCTTGGTACCTTATTGGTACCCTATTGAGTACTATTGCACTGATTAACCTCCTTTGGAACCAAATTGACAGCAATAGAGAGGTTCCCTATTGAATCTCATTTTACTTGTGATTGAAACATACTTTTCAAAAAATTTTTAGATTAGGTTATTGATTCCAGTTAGATTGATTACCACCGAACCATGAAGAAGAATTTCTTAGCTCTCAAAAACAGTAACTTGGGCCTTATGAGATTAGATTAGAATTAGCTAAAAGTATACATTGGATTTAAATATTGTTATGCATTCTTATGGTATACTACAAATTGCTTGAATTATTGCAAAAGTCAAAAAATAATTTTTGCATTATTTATGCTAAAATTTATAATTGTCGTTATAAATAGTATATTTATTAAAAAAAATAAAAATAAAAAAAAAATTAAATACTGTATTTGCTTTAAATACAATATAATTCTAATTACTAAAATAATTTTAGTATTTACATTTTAATAAAGCTTGTTGGTTGATATAGTAAATTTCAATTATAAAATCAACCGATATGATAAATGCTTGGAACTTTATATAAATGATCATTTCTCATATTATGATTCCTTTTCAACTTCCAAGATCTTTTCTTTCAAACCATCTAAATAGATATTAGTATATTTTTGTATCAACAAATACCCAGCGCTCAGGACTCCAATAATTCCTATCAATATTATGATTGACAACATTATTACACTTAACACCAATATAATGATGTTGCATTCACCACTGTCGGAACATGAACATCCAAGATCCCAAGGCATAAACAAACCACATCCGCCGCAATAACAATAAGAATCTCTTGTATCAACAAATCCTTTACGACAAGAATAAATCATCATATAAAATAAACTCAAAATTGAGATTATACATATTCCAAAAATGAAATAGATTACTTTAAGGCCTAATATGGATTTATTCGTCCATAATTTATCATTATTATTAACTAGTCGTCCCTTATTATCAATTAATTTTACTATCCATGAAACTATAAAAATAATTATCAAAAACATTATGAAAGTTACCAAATGTAAAAAAATAGGGTTAGAAATGATGATCGCTAATTTTTGTCGATAAAATTTGTATTCATATTTGCAAACTTCACATTGATACGAAGAATCTTTTCGAGTTGAAGATGCTCGCCATTGATTCAAACATCCTATGTGAACATATTGTAGTGAGCCCTTACATTTACATGGTGATATTAATTTGTCTTTTATATATGGTCCTCCTCCTTCTTCTTCCTCTATAACTTCAGATTCATGGCAGATTTTACAAAATTTAGCGGGCGGTTCATCCAAAGAGAGTTTAACGCTTGGAGTAGATATTGAAGAATTTGGATGTTTGACAGGTTGAAATTTTGTTGTTGTATACTCTGGAAGTTGCATAGGTTGAGGTTGTGTTGTTACGTACTTTGGAGGAGGTTGTGGCATATCGATATGTATTTGGCCTGCGTTTTCATTTGCGGGTGTCAATGTTGGTTCGCTTGGAATATTTACAAATGTTTGACGTATCAGTGTCTGTTCCAAATTTGCATTCATGGCGTTTGGGTCTCTTGAATCACTCATATGTAATGACTTATCCATTCCATTCAATATATTCAATATATGCTTATAAAATGCTATAAAGGTTACTTATTATTCTCAAAAGCGAAACTTTTTTTTTCTTAAAAAAAAAATATATATTTACTTGGATACTACTTGTTTGTAAATAGCTTATATGACCAATTTTTCATAATAAATATGAAACACATAATCAATACGAAACATTTATGGCTAGATTACTATTGATACATTGAATACGGATTTACTTATTGGCGCCGATTTAGGGATATTAATCGGTCTCACAGGGTAATTGGCAGCCGACTTTGAGAAAGATTTGTAAAAAAAATTGGAAGTCATAGAAATAACCTTCTGTAACATTTTGAAAATAGATGTTTATCTGTTTTTGCATTAGTTTTTGAGTAATTTAAATGGGACAGATTAGGGACCGATCAACTAAATTTTCTCCACATTGTCTCATCGGAATTACTCAAAAAAACCGATAAACCAGGTTTAAAATGCCAATTTTTTACGAATCTTGCTCGAAGTCGGCTGACAATTACTGCGGGACCGATTAACATCCCTACCGTTAATTTAATTTTGTAAGTAAATTAAAGTGCATAAAGACAGAAGTTAAAAGGTTAGGGTGTTATTAGCATTAGAGGTTATAGCAATAGTACACAATGATCATTTTTAGATACGTTTTTTGGTTTGTTTTTTCTACTTTTGCACGTGTTCGGAATGATAATAATTTGAAAATCATTGATTGGTTATTTCCTTTTTAGAAAATACCGGCTCAAACAATTAAAGCCCGTACTTGAATACTTGAATATAGGGCTGTTAAAAGTCCGATCCTTTCGGTCCTGACTTTGTAAATAGGGACTTCGATTAGGACTCGGTCCTTGAGTC